GTTTTACCCAGAGTCCAAAGCTCCCTGTTTGCCGTAACCACCGCCCTTTCTACATGGACTCCCTGTTTCTGCACCTCCGGCACCGTGCAGACAGCAATCTGCACATCCTCCGAGGTCGCCCTCAGCTCAGTGATCCCCTTCGCAATCTGCTTTGCGAACCCTCCCCCGCGTCCCTGCAACACATCGTTCACACCCCCCATTACCACTACTAAACTGCGGTCCTCCATTCTATCCCACAGTTGCTCCTTTGCTTGTTGCATCACTTCCCCTACTCTTTTTCCGGGAAGCTTGCTCACCTTCACGCGTTCGTCGTCTCCCACCCTCCCCTTAATCACCTCTCCCACCCTGGCCATGTTGGAGTCGCCGACAACAATCACTTGGCGCCTCCTCTGGTCTTTAGCCGGCACTTTTGCAGGTGTTCGGGGACTACTGTGGTTGATCACGGCAGCCAAGGACCTGGCTGGTGATCCCCCACTTCCCGGCGCCGCCTCGGGGCTTTCTTTGTTACCCGAGTCTGCTCTGCGTTGATGGACACCGCTCGTGCGCGCAGCATCAGTCACCCCCTGTGGGTCAGCGTTCCCGCCGGCGTACCGCTCGTTGTTCTGAGCCCGCGCCCTCGCGTCGTCTCCTGCCGCCGGAGTCACGAGCTCTTCCACCCGCTTTTCAAGCTGGGCCTGCTTTTCCCGAGCTTCGTCCACCCGTGTGCTGGTCATGCCATCTGTCGTCTAACAGCGACAACTACGCAGGATTTTGAAAGGCTCCAAGATTGGCGCTTAAAAAAAAAAAAAAAATCTTGATGGTTACGTAGGACGGAGAGCAGGCAGCCGCCAAGAAAGCGAGATTGTGGGGGGAGGGGGGGCGAAAAGTAAGTGGCGCTATTTTCTGCACTCTGGCCTCCCTGTCAGTTTCTCCGTTTTTCTCTCCGCTCCCTGTCCACGCCATCTCGTAACTCGGCAGCCACCCTATTGAGTGACTAGCCAAGCCGCCGGTGCGGTGGCGCGTAGTTCGAATTATCCGCAGCGGAATCTACTCGGGTTCGAATTAACGGGCTTTTTTATTTATAGGCTTGTATGGAGCTTGGCCATAACTTACAGTTTGAATTATCCATAAATTCGAATTATTGAGTTCGAGTAAACGAGCTTTCACTGTATACAGTCAAAATCGGATCAGATGCCGCAGATTTGGCGGCCTGATAATACAGCCACGCTTTCCGCATCGGGTGGTTCGCTGTGCGCCCCCTTTTGTCGTGCACGGAAACCACATTTCAGAAGAAAATAAAAAGAGTGGTAAATTAACTTCCTAGCAATAATAGGGCTTATATAGTTTTGCACAGAAAATAAATAATTATTGAGGAGGCGAAAAAAGTAAAGGTATTTAAAATTATAAATAATTGAAAAAAAGTTTGCATTTCAGACAAGAGCCGCTGGAGCTGCTTCGTTTGCTATCACTTCCGCCCGCCATAGCAGTTGCGGTTGCTCATATTGTGCATCGTAGCGTAGGCGTAGCGGCGTTGTCGCAGCATCCTTGCTAACCATGGTGCCACATGGAAAGCAATGTCGGCGAAGCAATGTCGACAAAGAAGGGCAACCGCGGCAAGAAGGCAAGCTGGCCGGACCTTAAACGAAGCCTGCGAACGTGTGTGCTACAACAGCGAGCCGAAAGAAGAGGCCTGTCTATAGTGCAGCTGTGCCTAAAGGCGAAGGCTCTGGCAGCGGATAGTAACACTGAGGGGTTCAGTGGTGGTCCGTTGTGGTGTTTCCGCTTTATGCGGCGGAATCAGCTTGACATGCGAGCCCGGACTACAGTGAGCCAGAAGCTGCCCGACGACTTTCAAGCGCAGCTGGAACACTTCAGCTCATTCATGAGGGAGGAAATTGCGAAGAAGAACGTCAGCGCGAGCCACATCGTCAACATGGATGAAGTGCCGTTGACCTTCGACATCCCACTCGTGAGAAGTGTCGCTGAGAAAGACCAGAAAAGTGTGACGGCGAGGACAACTGGCCACGAAAAGTCTCACTTCACTGTTGTGCTTGCCTGCTGCGCAGACGGCACCAAGTTGCCTCCCATGCTGATATTTAAGCGGAAGACCTTGCCGAAGGATATTTTCCCTCCTACAGAGGTGGTTCAGGCTAACGTGAAGGGTTGGATGAACGAGGAAACGATGGGTGTGTGGCTTGACCGCTGTTTTTCACGTCGACCCGACAGATTCTTTCACATGAAGCCAGGAATGCTGATGATGGACAGTACGCGGGCTCATATCACCGACGTCGTGAAAAAAAAGATCGTTTCGAAGCATTGTGTGCCTGTAATCATTCCCAGAGGCATGACCAAGTTTCTTCAGCCGCTCGACATATATGTCAACCGCAGCTTCAAGGCCGCTCTGCGACGTTTGTGGGAGTCATGGATGCCGGAGGGAGAGCACAGCTTCACTAAAACGGGTCGCATGAGACGCACTGAGTTTGGCGAAGAGGCGAAATGGGTGAGTGAAGCCTGGCATTCCATTTCTGACAAAACAATTGTGGCGGGCTTTCGCAAGGCCGGGTTGATCCCCTGCGTGGCCGATGTTGAGTCCGATTCGAGCGAGTCAGAGGACGACAGTGGCGGGCCAGCAGAGCTACAACCCAAAATAGCTGCAATGTTTGTGAGCGACTCGGAGAAAGATGACTTCGATGGTTTTGATTCATTGGAATAATAAAATATTTTTGACTGGAAATATTGCTTTTATGTTTGTTGAGAGGCCCTCGCACGAGTCTGCTAACAGCTGGAAACTTGCCAAAGCGGCCACCGCCTCAAGCATGCATTTTCACAATGCTTTCTCATGACGCGACACTCGTTGGCCGGATAAGCAGGTGCAACTTATATACGTTTTTTTTTTTTTTTCGGGAACACTGCCTTATTGAGGAGGGTGCGACTTATACAAGGGTGCGACTTATAGACCAGAAAATACGGTAGGTAGGGGTAACAAGGCACTGTGTGAACCAGACCAAGCTCAGGAGTATGAGCATTTAACTAAGAATAAAGACAATAAACACCTGCCTACACAATTCATGGCCTGAAAGTGAAAACCTTGGTTTCACAAGATTAAAATTCTCGGCAGTAACAATGAGTTGCTGGCGTGAAAACATCGATTCGCGGCCGCTATGTTTTCTTGCTTGTGTAATTCTCACACCCACCAAAGTTTTCATCGGTTTCCCTCAAAAAAAAAAAAGTGCAAGGATTATGCGAGTAATTACAGTATTGTCAACCTTATGAAGTCGTTGTATCCTTTCATTCATTCTTAAGGGCACACATTTGTTTTGAATATTGATATCCTGCAGGATAATCGAAAAACTAAGATTATAGACAGTGACAATCAGCCTTGCCCAACAAAAGGGTACAGACTGCCGGATTAAGCCCACAGCACGACCTTGTGCCTCTGCGAAGAAGTTAGATTAAATTATTCTTGCCAGTGGCAGCTAATGACAGCATTACTTAGTTGAAAGGGGTGCCAGTGAATCTTTATTGTCAACCTTAAAAAAAATCAAATCTAACGGGCATATTTCTACCGATGATTAAGAGTCCGAAAATTGCCTGCGCATGAAAACGAAGCCGATACCACGTTGCCAACAGCCTCCCATCAGAAGAGCCGGACCCAGTGTCATGGTTATCACATAATGGTGACAAACCACGAGTTAGCGTAGAATGCCTTTGTGCGCGACTTAGCTGTGCGCATTGTAATTTGATTCCTTGGTAAGTGCAACTAGTGGTGTCCTGCTTTTATTATGAAAGTTGACGTTAATTGAAAGTAAGTTTACACGGTGAAAACAGCTGCATTGCCGCCTTATGCGTGCGCAGGCCTGTGACTGCAAGCCCGACAAAGGCAGATCAGCTGTAAGTCAACCAAGAAAAGTTTCCACAGACCAAAAACGTGAAGATATCAGCTTTTCGGCCGGCTGACGCTACTATGTGTGGATAGATCGTGACTATGTAATGAACTCGCATCCATACACACGCGATCAAGGCGTATGTAGAAGCGCATGAACTTCCATAAGAATAAATTTTCTATTCTAAGAAGACATCCTGTCTCACTCTTTACTTTTCCAACCTAGGTGAATGCAAGTTCATATTTTGCACTCGTGAATATTTCTTCAATGTTTGATTCGAGTAATGGTGGTTCTTTTCTTTTGGACGGAATCTGAAAGTCGGCGTAAAACTGCGTCCAAAATCAAGGTATTAATACATTATTTCTATGGGGATTTTGCCGGGACCAAACCGATTAGTCGTAAAATGTGGTAGACGTGGCATGGAAGTTCCTTTGTAGTCAAAACTTCTGGTTGTTATTTATGTTTTCTAGGTGTGCGTGCATGTGTAGGTGCCAAACGTGCAACACAGTCGCTGTTTATGTGTTCCCGCGAAGCCTCATAATGCCGTAGAAACAACTTTAACAATGTGCTTAAAGGTGCTTTCAACGGCGCGGAAAAGTCGCTACGACTGCAAACCCCTCGATGCCACCAACTGAGATAAAAGAATTTTTGACAGTGCATCTGAGAATGTGGCGTTAAATCCTGTGAAATAATTATTGGTATTATGCACCTCAGGACAGCATTATTTACGAGTTTTATATCGATGCTTAGTGATACTCAATGCCGTGCGTGACTATGGATTTTGCAAAGAACATATCCTGCGTGTGTTGTGTTTTATGATGTTGGCAGTGTCAAAAATAGGTGCATCTTATACAGAAGTGCAAACTACATATTTTTTTTTTTCATGTGAAACTCATAAAAAGTAGGGGGTGCGTCTTAGAGAAAAGTGTGACTTACAAACTAGAAGGTACGGTACTTTCACAGTAAGAGTGACTTTCCTTGGGTTGCAAAGAAGAATTTACTAAAACTATTGAACTTGTTTTTTTCTAGGGCATCTTAAAATGATAGAATTTTTGCCCTCACCTTCCTTGGACCTGCATAAGGTGTGCAGAATTGAATAAAGAAAGGAAGAAAGTTCAAGTCTCAGAGAAACCTTACCTCACGGGATGCAGAGCAAAGCAAGCCCAGGCTGGCTTCACTGCTAGCTAGTGAAGAATGGCTGCTGGTGAGGTCTGAAGCTGTGCCTTCCTTAAGCGCTTTCTTCTTCTTGGAAGATCTTCGCGCCCAGGCAGCTCTTTCACCCAACTTGCTGCCCACCAGCTTCAAGTCTGCACAGCAGGAAGGTGTACAGCAGGAAGGTGCACAGCAGGAAGGTGACAGTAAATTTACAATAAATTTGCTTGAAATTCATCAGTTATACTGATTGTACACAGATGATTAGACGGCACACTCCTTCCTTCTCAACTGCAACCAACTCCTTAATTTGCAGCTGCTTTTGCCACAAAGAAAGATATAATCCCTTTCTGGTTCAAAATGACAATTAACATCCAAGTACTCTGCGTGCTTTTCTATCAATCCTTCGCAACCAGCACTTCCAAATCATAAACAGCACGAGCAGTATCACTGCAACATAGAATTTTTGATCAGAGATGCATCAACACAGATAAAACTTACTGTTCACAGAAAATATACACAATATTCGGTGCGAATTCCTTTGAGAATGATTGCAAAAAAAAAGTTAAATCCTGTGAATTTACTACTGGGCCTTAAAGAAAGTAGGTGTGTGCGAATGTTTGAAACTCTAAATATTTTTCTAATAGTGGTTGTTATTCAATTCACACTGAAATTTTTATTACTCGAAGTATTGGATCCTCCCAGATATACACGGTCAACATCAGATTGAATGTGATTCCTTCAGCTTTTTATTATGCTTCACCTCATTACACACTCGTAGTGCGGCAAAGCTGCTTTTCAAACTTTGCTACGGCTGCAAATGTACTAACGAAAACGCTTGTTTCAACATCGAGATTATGCATGTAACAGAGGTGGGGGCTCAATGCTGTTTTGGACCTGAAATTCGGGCAGTAAGTCTGAAAAATCAAACATCAAAAATTTTTAGCATCCAAAATTTCAGATGTTCTTATATATTTAAAACTCCAAACTCTCAGGGAGCAGATCCTTTTCTGCCACATCAATTGGGCTTCCACAAAAGTTGAAAGAACAAGGAAATACCATCTTTACTTTTCATGTCAAAAGTGTTGTCAGCAACACTTTGGTTGCACCAAATTATGCACACAAGTACAATTCAGCCTCTGCATTGGGTCATTTTTGTTAAGACAACTACGATCCCCCCCCCCCCCCCCCAATTTAATCTACCGAAAAGAAAAACACTTTCATGTTGCTATCTCATAAAATTATGCTTGGGAATCCTCTCCAACATTTTTTCTTTGATATCGCTTCAAAGTATTCTAGCAATATTCGAAAAATATTCCATTCGCACTCACACCTCAATATTTGAATTGCCTTTGCACCCTGAATTTTACTGTTTACACAGCTCTAAAAGAAATCTGCAAGTAAGAAATATGATAAACTCTATCAAATGCAAAACGTGAATGATGCCTCCCCTTTCCCTGCTTCCCTCTACTTAGAAAAAATTGGCCCCGTATCTGCATGTTTCACTGCAAATGTTGTTGACAGGTGATATATCGTTTTGCCTATGGAGAAAGTGAACACAACGTTTATTTGATGTTATGCGCGAGAAAATCAGTGAATTGTATTATGGAAGCGCTGCGTTAGAGAGTCTCGATCCGTGCAGCGAAGGCGAACGAGCGCATAGAGACACGTTGAACACGAGCGCTATCTGGCAGTTACCTTTGAAAACGAAGGAAGGCATGCGCGCCCATGGAGAAAGATGCGCCCCTGTCTTGGAGGCGATAACATGTAGAACGCAAAGCGACGGGAAAGTGCCACCACCTCTTTGCGAAGCGTTGGAAACACTCGCCTTTTTGAGCATCGTGTTGCACTGTCAGTATAGCGTGATAAACGCTACGGTCCTTAGAATTACTTATGTGTGCCTTCTCTAGTATAAAAAACACACATACAAAATATTGACGTGTTGTTATGGTGCCTCAGATATGTGCAATAATTGCTTTTAAATTGACAATCACACAAGTATGAGCACTGAAGCTTGAGAAATATTGATGAGCGCTGCGAATGGGGTTGGCTGTTTGGGGTATAGTTACGGCAGACAAACAGACAAATGTATAGACAGACAGACCCAAATTTTTTGCGTTGAAGTACCGCAAGAAAGACTATCGTCTTTAAAAAAAGGGAGAACGGGTAGGGGACCATGTTCACATTCAATACAATGTGCCCCAACGGATGCTACGTAGTACCACCATTGTACCACCAGCAAAGCTGACTTAACCCGTCCTGATGAGCCCAATGCTGTGTTGTTCACATAAATGAAGCAAACTTTTTCACCTATAATTTTAAACACAAAAATTGTATTTTTTACATCATACGGCTCTTTTCCATCCTGGTAACTAAGGACTGTTCTTCATAAAAAATAGCCCTGCCTGTATAAGACACTATAAGAGAAACATTTTTCTTCACTAAAAAGTGATATGCACAAAGGAGGAAAATCTTGCAAGATTAATTTTAGCCATAGAAGCTGTCCTTTTTTTTTAGGGCCGAAGCTCCTGAAAGGGCCCGTAAACCACCTCCGATATTTTTCAAAGCATTTAAAGTAAATGTGCGCATCGTGTGCAGAATGCCGACGCGATGAACGATGAAGCATCCCGTACTACTAAAAGACAACACTCTGAACAAGATAAGAACATACTATACCCCGTTTCCCACCAGCCACAGCCCGAAGCACGTGGCCATATACAATAATTTAGCCACACACCATTAGACTGCCATAGGACCACCAGGCACTGAGACATAATTTATGGGAAATACAAACTTAATGACCCCTTCCAAATCACCAGTACAATGATAGTACACATTAGTTTTTCCAAGCAATTATTATTCCGGCAAAAACTACTGCTAGGCAACTCACTTTTGTGCCAAGGCAAGAAAGACCTGCGACGCTTATCCTCCTTGTGAAGTTTCCAAGCTTCCTTCTCGGCTTCAGGAAAGACGGGCTTACCCTGCACCTCGCGCAGCATGCACTGTTTAAAAAGTTCAGACTTGAGAAAGCGCTGGTAGCAGTCAAACTTCATTAGGTTGAATATTTGCTTCTGCGCAGGCACAAAAAGGTCAGGTGCTGCCTCGTCGAGACCTTCTTGCACGGAGAGCTGAGCCCGACTGTCCACATTGACGGGTTCTGGCGCACCAGGGCCCAGGTGCTTTTGGTAGATGGCAGTTGCGGCTGCCTTGCGCTGTAGATAAAGCGAAAAGCAGCTTATTATTTGAGTGAGTGGTTAGAGTCTGCGAGGTGGTACAAAAGTACCATATCTACTTAGTATGTGCACAATGACCGCAATTTTTTCCTCGAAAAATCGGAGCAAAGTGGGGGTGCGTTTATTATGTAGGGCAAATTTTATGAAAACTTTTTTGGGATTTGCAAAAAATGTGGTAATGCAAAAAAGGTTAGGTCGGATACGAAGCTTTCTTTAGTTCCCCAACAGAAGCACCACTGAACCCAATGCAATGCTAAGTAGCCTCAGTTCGATGAAACTTTTCGAATGGCACACTTAAGTTATGCAAACATATTCCATGACACGATACAATGCCTCCCAGGTCATGTTGGTTAAACACAGCCCAATTACTGTAACATAGTTTTGCCATGACCTTCATTAGCTCCGCCAGAGAACTGTAAACACCACTATTTTACGTTGACGATGGTACTTCATTGCAATGCGATGAAAAAATTCATTCCAATCGGCTTTAAAGGGCCACTCATTAGGCCCCATAATAAATTTTTGTTAAACCTTGGAAGTTCTTGTGTGTCCGATGAGGAGCATAACGCCACAAAATTTTTTTCAATCGGTTTATTACGAGCTGAGAAAAAAATTTTTTGGAGTGCCGCGAAACGAGGATGAGAGGAGGCTCTTGAGATCTAAACCCTTGCAGCTCTGCCCCATAGTCTTCACAAGCCAAATCTCTTCCCTACCCTCTCTGACATTAGACCAAAAAGTCATGAGCTCAAACAAGCCCAGCCCCTGAACACACGACCGTTGTTTTGTTGACCAGCGTTGTTTTGAGGTCTACTGCCTGTTTCTTCGGGATGGTTTGGAAACGCTGGCTTATACGCGGTAGAATAGATGAGCACAATGAGAGCGAGAACGCGTAGGAGCGTTACTTGCGCTTCCATGGCTGTCATCTGCTTAATGTACTGACCACGGCGACACGAACGCATGCGAAACGCCAGTACATTAGCCCCGCATCTCGTTGCAATTCATGGGGGAAAAAATGAGAAAAAGACGCACACATTTCCTTATTGCGTCTCATTATTTATCTCAAGTTTTATTAATCTCTTCAAGCAACAAAATAAATGAACTACGCATGTCGTGTTAAATATTTTTCGCCATGTCACGTGCTACTGCTGGCAATGTCAGAGCATAGTCTATGTAGGCGTCAACATCACTGCACTGCCATGTACGTAAGGCAATGCTTAAATGCACGTCATGCCTTCATTCTCTGGGTGCGCACCCGCGAAAGGAAGGGGGAGCAGCGTTCATCTAGAAATTTAACCCATTTCTGCTGAGCGTAGCATTGCAAATTTCGGCAGATGTGATCGTGAATGCCCCATCTACACATTGCGCTTGTCCGCTCAGAATTGTCAAACCTGGTGAGTGGCCCTTTAAGCTCAATTGGCTGAACATATTTTTCAACCAGCCAGAGCGATAGCAGCAGCTTTTGCCCCATTGTGGCATGATTCTCATGAGTGTTTAATGGTAGCGCATATCTGCAGACAAAAATCTAATGTTTTGCAGAGGGGCATTAATGCGCTTGCAGAAACAAGTTATTTTCTACCCCGCAGAGTGTTGTGCAAGAGAAGGTTCATGGGAGCTTAGACACAGTAACTTAATCTATGACCAGCAGCCTTTAGAGCCCAAGTGCAGCAAGTGATTCATTCCAAAATTCTTAAAAAGGATAAATTTACATGCAAATGAGCAGCATGAAAACAAATGGGCTGAAATTTCATCTGAACAGCTCATATAGTTCCTTCAGCTTGTGAGAACAAGCTACAACATAGCTGTGTCAGCTCAGCAAACTTTCACGAACTTTTACTGAGGTCCCTTCAAGTTCGTTCAAGTAAAGCTTCACTGTATTCACATTTTTAGCACAGTCCTACACACACATACATACACACTAATAAAGTAATAAATCACTACGTCAATCATTCAAATCAATTAATCAATGGACTGTCATTCAAGCAAGGCTGTACATTCCCTAATTCTTGTAGACAATTTCTGGCACAAATTTTCACCAAAATATTACATCAAATAGGTGTGTTTATCTAACATCAATGGGAGTATCATTAAAAAAAACTTTACACAAATGCTTACATTAGATATACTTATTGAAAACACTGACCTCACACCCGTCAAGCATTTTTCTGTACTGCTCACACACCACCCAGAAAAAGATGTTCTCTTGGCTGAATTCCTTCTTCAAAAATTCCTGAAAAATTTTCACTTAATTATGTTTTTATACAACTTGCCACACATTAATACATATACAGCATACTGTTTTTTAAAGTGAACAAGTAGATACAATTGTCACATTTGCTTTGAGCTGAAAAACATCAGGATGTATTTATCATGCAGACACTATTGACAAGTGAGCAATGTGTGTGTGTCAAAGCAAGTTCTTTATTTTTTTTTCTTCCTTTAAAGAGACTCTGAAAACGGTTTTCTAAACTCCAGCGTTCAGGCTAGAGCATCATCAAACCATTCACACCACAAATTTAGCGATACACGGAGTACCAAGGCCACTATGAAAAATTATATCATACCTTCCTTCTAACTTCTGCCTTGCCTCAACTCACGAGACATGCTGGCGATCGCAGAGCCATAGCAGAGCTCTCATGAATGCACTCGAGGATTCGAGGTTCGCCCAGTCTAGACCTTCGAAACTGCACGCTGACGGGTAGCGCGCAATCTCGGAGGCCACCACACATTGCGCCTGGTAGCACGCACGTTGTCTGGCAACAGAGACGAAGATCGTGGAGTGGTACATACCTGCTTCAACAGGTGCTGCAACCCTACCAGCCCATCTTACTTGCGCGCATTCCAGAATAAATCAGATCAGCAGCCAGGGTGACGTCACTTTACCAGAGCATGTTGTTCTATGACTGAGCGGTTGAAAACGTGTTTGGCCGAGTCACAGATATCTGCAGCGATTCGCAGTTTTAAAGCTTTGCAATCAACTCTTTCACTATTATGCCTATTCGAATCGTTCAACTTGAACGATGCATTTCAAGTTTAAATTTTCGCGCACTTGCAGAATTTGCAGGCACCTAACGCCATGTAAGTAAGAAACGCACAATGAAATATACGGCGTTTAGGTTGTTCTTTGCTTTCGGGAAGTTTCCCTCGCCGCTCAAAGTTTTGGGTAGTTACGCAAGCGCACCGATCATGGCGTCGTTTTCCCATGTGGATGTTCCTCAAATATGATGTGTTTCTCGCAAATCAAGTGCATCAACAGTAGATTTTGAGGGTGAAATCAGCAGCCGTGAGTGTGGACAACATGTTGACACATTTCAGCACCGATGGCGAGGATGCGTCAAGTCAAGCCGCAACTTTGAGTAAGTGAGTGTCGGCCATATGTGGGGTGCACATTTTGTTGTTCAAGGGGAGACACGGGTCTCAAAGGCCAAAAAATTTTCGAAAAATCAATTCTTTTAGGTATTTTTTTTTATAATATATATGGTCTGAAGAAGGTGTTCCGAAAATTCTATTGCCATGTAATGCATATTTGTCGAGTAATCTGATTTCAAAGTCAGTTTCATGACCATTTCCACTCGTGAAACCACCTCAAAAACGGTCATATTTGACGTCGCAGCGCCCGAGAACCACGCCAAGTAGGGCAGTCATTTTGGTCTCATTTGAAAGCCGTATTCTTTTTTTGTGTGTTCCTAGCAGAACGCGTTTTGTATAGCAACAATGCAGCTATATCGAATAAAGAAAAACCATATACTTGCACATCATTGGTGCGTTTCTATCACGTGGGGCAGTTCCCGGTTCTTTATTGGATGTAAAGGGATTCGTCTGCTAGACAGTGGTCCGCAATCTCCCGTTGTGCGACGAGGCCTAAGTGACGGCTGTACAATCGGTGTGATGGCAGGCGGTCATCGAAAGGTTCATACTACTCATGCGTTCGAAAAGAAGCGTAAACGGCGTCTGAGAGCATGCAGCATCTTATCAGCGAAACCCTCTGCCGCTGAGAACACGGAAAAAGCTGGCTGTGCCAACGCTATCACGAACGCGGCTTCCGCGATCAGAGACACGATAGCCGGGACCAACAATCACACGCGAGACCTGCGCGTCGGCACTACCCTGGTTTCCGACGCTGATAAAGTGGTCCTTGCTTGTCGTGCGAGTCACATTCAAAGAGACCTTTCGTCGACATTAGCCTTACGACACGAGCGGTCTTTTTCGAGACTCGGAAGCAACCGCGACCACTGGCACGCAGTTCAAAGGCGTAAGTTTAGCGATAATGAATGAACTGCTTCAGTGTATGAAGTGTGATGTGTGTGGCGGGCCTGGCAGCATTTTCGAGAAAGATTGGGAATATGGCATTGCCACAAAACTTGTGCCTACGTTGATGAGAGCGGGGAACTGAAATTTGTTACGGAGCTCGCCGAGAGCGGGAGGGGGGATGCGGCGCGCGGCCTGTTTCGAGATCAACATGCTCACGGTTCGCCCGGCACAGCAAACGGACAAACTGCGTTTAATTGCATTTTTTCTCACCCTGTATGTTTCATGAAGATGCACAGAAATATAAAGATTACGTGAAAGTGAGAATGATTCCTGCCTCATAGAAGGCTGCCGCGCACGTTACTGACGACTGCGCGAGCATCGTCAAAACGTTGTATGCATGAAAACTCTTGAATCATTTGGCGTGCAATGAAAAGAAAGCGCACGAAGAATGATGACAACTACACACCCGGTGGCTTCTAGCATTATTACTGTACTGATTTACACCATTACCTGTTTAATATACATGCTCATTGTGTCCCTAAACTTTTTTTCTCGTTTTCTCAAAACAACATTTTTCATCACGTTCGAGGCCATTGCACACAGTATCTTTTGATCTAGTAATTAGACTTTGATAATTTTTGCAATTTGAAAGCTTTTAAATTGAAGAGTGCAACAAAACCAAAAAATTATCATAGTTTTATAAGAACAGAGATTTATTTAGTGATATAATTAAGCAACAGTTTCCAATTTTTTATGAGTCTACTTGTTAAGGCGTAACTCTTGAACTAATGAAGCTAAAAATAAAATTATGGTTTCCTTGCACTCCCTGTTCTTTACAGAACACTGTCATATCTAATTTGTAGCAATCTTTTATGAAAAAGCTGTCTAAACAGTGGGCAGAATGCAAATCTATAGAACAGTGAATATTTTAATATCTGAAAGTGACAGCTGAAAACTAATTGCATATTTGTTTTCAGTTATGAGAAATGCATATCACATAAAAATTTCACCTCTAAATACTCAAAATTAAAAATATGTTTAAGACCAGTGTCTCCTTTTAATTAGTAGTTACGGGTGGCAGAGCATGTACGCACAGCAATTTTACTTATTTTGAGGGTCTCAGCATCCCATGGACACGATCCCTTGCCGGCATCTATCAAGTGTGTGCAATTTCATTCGAGATAAAACCCGGGCAAAGTCGGAGGCGCGCTCCAGAGTAATGCACTGAGCTTCGTCTGGGCCGTCGATTTCTTCCAGTTGTCTTTCACTGCTCAGCTAACCAGCATTATTTGCGACTACACCAACAAATATGCGTGGATGCATATTTTAGAGAGGCAGACATATGTGGAAAGGGACGGTTTGTGGAGAAACTTCAGTCCTGGTCGAGTGATGAAATGCATTGGAATGCTCATCTACAAGGAAATAGTTTTTTCGTTCCTTGCTTTTCTAAGTGTCCTTGACTTTGAGAAGACAGACCCCATCCGTGATGACAAGCTGCACAGGATAACCCATCTACTGCTGCACCCTAACTTCCTTTTTTGTGGAAAAAAAAAACAGTTTTTGGCAATTTTTTGAAACTTATACAACCTTTTTGCAGCATAAGGAGCTGCGAATTCTATATCTTGAATTATTTTTAACGTAATTATTTTTTATGTTGTCCTCCTTTTGAGAGCATTGTTTGTATAATCATTGTATAAACTTTTCATTATACTAAACATTTTTCCTTGGTGTGTTTAATAAATATGGATGGAATGTTTATGTTATTGGACAGACCATTCTTTTAGCTTCAGTTTGGTACCAAAGAATGTAAATAAGGCATTATGTCTAGCAAAAAAAAAAATGTTTTTTACACCTAGTAAAATTGCCCTTTTTCCCGAGGTAGCGAAAGAGTTAATTACAATTTAAGCTGAGAGCTGAAATCAGTCTGTAAATGACCCTTAGGACTTGGTCTATCGGCCCAATATGTTTGTACAATATCGTCAAAACCGTTTCAGGGTCCCTTCAATAACCTTCACAAGAACATATATGCCCGATGCTGTGCAGTGTACTATCAGCGTTAAATGAAACCCGAACAGCAGCAAGCCAATAGTGTGCGACGTCCAGTAATCACGACTGACAGGCGCATGCATCCTATTCAGCAGCTCTGCGCATATATACGTGGCTGTTCATGATGATAAGTAAACGGCGCCCACTATACCATCGCGATGGCTTGTCGCCGTTCGGGTTTCATTTGATGCACATATAGCAGAAATAGCTGTAAAAGGGGTAACCGAGTAAAGCATACTACATGTGCCTGACATCTAAGTGATTTAAGATACCAATATATCGAACTATTATCTGATACCCTCTTTACCCTTTAATGTGATGCATCTAAAGTTCCTACTGTGCCAGGTTATTACTGATATGCCATACAAAGAAAGTCAGTTAACCTCCAGATGCCTTTTATTATATATCCCTCAAAACAATTAAGGGTTCTCAAGAGGAAGTAATTCCAACACTTTCAAGCGCCTTGAAAACACTTTTCTATTTAAAGGGTTTTTAAGGTATGCACAATGAAGCATAAATATCTTCAGAAGGTCATTTCGGGTCTGTAATATTGAAAGTATTAAAAAGACTAAGCAACTTATTTTAATGATATCTCCAGAACTTCGGAGAGAAAGATGTAATAACGGTCACATAACGACAACATTGGTCATCCAAGGAGGGAACTAAAACAAAAGAACACTCACTGCAAACACTAAGAGACCAAGAGGGTCATGTAGAAGTTCATCGAAACCAGCAAGCCAGCGACCCACTCGACCACGCGGCTGATCGCAGGTGCTACTAGAATCACTAGCTTGCTCCAAGCTTTGCACGCTGCTGGACATGGAAAGCTTCTCGCTTGTCACCTCACCATCGGACACAGTTCCTGCCTAAAAATGCAGGAGAAATAGTGAGCAATTAAAGAAGCCACCCTGACTCAATGTATATAAAGCAAACATTACAAGACAAAAGCAATTACCTCGTGTGTGCTTCTTCGATGATGACTTCGCCGCTGATGCCTCCGAAGTGATGATGACCTCGTCCAATTTTTGTTGCTGCTGCAGCTGCTTTCATTCTGCACCAATATACCGCATTAATTACAGATTTACCAAAGGCCTTTGCAATACTTACAGCCGACTACAGTCAACAACTTTCATGCAGTGAAGAGAAATTAGGCTCGCAATACTACCTGCAGCATTGAAAACTGGTCATGACTGTTCTAGAGATTACATTGTGGTAGGCAAAATTTGAACAAGGAACAAACACCTATAGCTTAGTAATGTTATCCAGATAACATCTGTGCATGCACTCAATACCTAAAAAAATCAGGCAGAAACAGATTCCTTTCTCTTTCAATAGATAGATACTTATCTCATATCATTTAGAATGCACAACCGACACAAGAGATCAGGCACTAAAAATCAACTAAAGCTCGTTATTAGGCATGACAAAGCCATGTACAGTAGAAGCTCAAGTGGACTCACAAGAAACTAGATAAACATGCTGATTTTTATCAAGTACTTGCAGGTGGGCAGTATTATGCGTCATACACAAAAATCCCCTTATGTTACAAAAGTAGCGAAAGGTTTTGATCCAGCTTCCCCACCCTGCGATAGGTTGGTTGGTAACATGTAACTTTTTAGCCTTCGGGACCCACCAAAAGGGTCCAGCGATGGCAGCGCTGTGTCAGCAAGAGGAACAGATGACTGCGTTTTAAAGCATGGAGTTGGAAAATTTTAGCAAGTGGAGTATACTTCACGTGCCTTTGTCACGTTGTTGTTGTGACCTAGAAGCATTTACGTATACTTGAAGTTGAGTGGATACGGGAATCCTATGTTTAAATTGAATTTGGTCCAGTTTGCTGGGCCTCAATGCCTTCAGTTGCCTCAATGCGCAAAGCATGAAAAACAGAAAGCCCCTCTTCTTGTTCTTCGCGGTCACAAACATATATGCTGAAGAAAGATATGGCCTCAAAAAATCAGCCACAATAACACTTTGCTCACAGATGACATCTGGCCATACAAAAAAGGTGAGCTTGGGGAGATGCGAGTCGAAAAATCGCGTTTTTAGCGAAATTTCTCGTATTTCTGATTTTTACTGCATTGTAATCTTCAAACCTTCTTCTTTCATCTGTGAAAATTTCAAAACTAAATTCGAACCGCAAAATGCAAAAAAATGTGTATGAAGGCATCGCGGTGGCTCAAACTTTCGTGAATTTGCGCCGATATTGGCCATCTTTGACTGCGCGCTGCTCCCCGTCGCAGTGCCGCCCGCCATCGCGATCGGTTGGGAAAGTTGCGTCCGGCCTTCTTCTTACAGCTCCGACGACCGCCAGTTTCGTACGTGGGCAAAAAAAAAACGAGGCCTTTTTATCACGTGGTTTGAGCGGTTTGAAACGCGCGGCACCCTAAGCGGCATCGCCATTGGCTACCGAGTCATTGTCAGCTGTGTTGGTGGCGGCCACCGGCATTTGGTCCGTCTGCTTTTCTGCGCGTCTACGCATATTTTTGCGATGACAAGCCCGAAAAAGTGCAACGCGAGACCGCAGAAGTTTCAAACGAAGCACAAGTTCAAGGGAAGGCGGCGTAAAGCGCCCCGAACGGCGGCGGCGAACGAGAACGCGCCTACGTGTGCTAGGCCTGACGGTGGCATCGACGAGTGCGCGAGCGACAGTGGCTGCGATGAAGGGATTGACGCTGCGCTTTCTTTCGTCAGTGCTTCGGAAAAGAAGCTCGGTTTCTTCGAAAAAGACGAAAGACAGCGTGATGAGGTTTGTGCAACGACAGTTTTGTGCGACACCCTCTTGCTGACGGCACTTGTGGCAGGTGCGGCATGCCCTGCTTGCGGTATTCAAAAACTTGCCATTCGGGAGCCGGCAGAAAAGCACAAGGGACTTTCGTCGCTTCTCGAACTTCATTGCGAAAACAGCGAATGCTCAGCGACTGTTCTTTCGTGCTCCTATACGTCCCTGTGTGTTACGGCGAACGGCAGCAGCCGTGTGAGCCAACGGTACGACAGTAAGAGCTCCCGAGATAGTTTCGCTGTAAATGTGAAGGCGGTGGTGGCTGCACCCGCTGTCGGCATTGGGCAGGAGCAATTGTCAAAATTTTGCTCCATTATTGAACTCCCAAAGCCAATGCACCACCGAGGATTTTTTTCGATAGCAAAGAAGGTGCACACCGCTGCCATGGCAGCTGTGAGTGAAAACTTGCGCCGATCCAGAGAGTTGACGAAAGAAGTAGCAGGCGAAACTGATGTGGCTGTTATGTTCGACGGCACTTGGCAGAAGAGGGGCCACAAAAGCCACAACGGGATTGACGCAGATATCTCCTTAGATACTGGCCTCTGCTTAGACTTCGAGGTCATATCAAATTACTGCCTGACATGCAGTAGGCACAAGGATATGGGCCCAGACGAGGAAGTGTGGCAGGATTCCATGGCCCAGTCTGTGAAAAAAATGCAGACTGTTCCTCCCATGCCATGGAAACGGAGGCTGCAATGCGCATTTGGCAGAGAACATTGACTTATGACACCCAACTGCATTTCATGACATTCTTGAGTGACGGTGACAGCAAAGCATATAGTGCAGTTGCAGAGTCAAAAGTCTATGGTGCTGTCAATATAAAAAAAGAAGACTGCACTAATCATGTGGCCAAGAGACTTGGCACCGCGCTACGGAAGCTGCATGTGCCATTACCACGAGGGCAGAAAATGAAAGAGCCAGCCATTCAGAAGCTCCAAACATACTATCAGATTGCCATAACAAGCAACAGGGGGAGTGTACGGGATATGTACACTGCAGTATGGGCTTCGTACTTCCACTCATGCTCTACTGACAATGCTGGCAGCCACAAGTTTTGCCCTGCATGAACAGAGTCGTGGTGCAAACACCAACGCGCTGAAGCACTTGGTGAACCTGCACCACGCCACACACCTCTCCTGACAAAAGCACAGGGATTGGCTGTTTTGCCCATTTATAAGCGGCTAACGGATGAGAAGCTCCTTGCTCGATGCATCAAAGAGAAAACCCAGAACGCATCGGAATCCCTGAACAGCGAAATTTGGCTACTTTGCCCCAAGACTAAGTTTGTTTCCCGAACGGTTGTCGAGACTACCGTAGCTATGGCAATCCTGTGGTTCAACAAGGGTCATGCTACTTTCGAGCACATCCTGGAAGAGCTCAACATACTGCCATCTAGAGATCTAGTTACTTTCAATGATTCCCGCGATGCGAGGCGCATCAAGAGAATGTCCGAGCGTCTGACAGCAGAAGCAAGGGCCCACCGTCGTCGTGGAGTGAAAAGGGCACGGCTAGAAGAGAGTGCTCGCAAGGACCGTGAGGGCACAACCTATGCTGCAGGACAGTTCTAGTAACTTGCAATGCTTTTCAAAGTTCTGTTGAACATTATGGCCAAAGATTATGCATTTCTAACAACTCTGTGATAAAAAAAAAAGGTTTCAAACTTTCAAATGCGTTTTTCTCCTTTAGCAGTTTTGTGTGATCTGTGCTTCTTATACACGCTAGTTCGTATACTTAGAATTGTCATACCTCTATGAAATTTTGCACATAGCATGATGAAGGCCCATAGAGTGCAAGTATCTATTCAGATTGTCAGTGCTGCTTGAATATGTTTTTCAAAAATTACATAACATTGAAAGCCCTTGGCAACTAGAGCCATAGTAAATTTTTCTTTTTTATTATTGTATTTCACCTTTTTACACACAAAATTTATATAGTTTTTTGCACTCTACAGTTCCAAAGGATCATAGTCAGCTATATCTGCATGCTTTATCTCAAATTTTTATAGGTCAGAATTGTTGCATAACAATGGCCATAATTTTGCAGTATCTGACCTGCAGAAAGAAAACCAAGCAATCTACATGAAAATAAATGACATATCTGAAAAGAGGAGAAAAAACTCTATTAGCATGCCAATTTGTGTTAAATTCAGACTATTATTAATGAAAATCGTTTTTTGAGTAGCATCTCCCCTTAATGTTTTATAACTTCAAACAGCCTATCGCCTGGCGATGAGCTTTTGTTTCTACATGTGCACAAACATTATCTCAGATACGCTATTACTGTTTCGGAATTCTCTATGTTGTATATTTGTGTGTCATATACAATGCAGTCGTGCCTGTATCTTCATCAATTTTCAATAACAATTCAGAACCCTATACATCTGCCTTTGTTTTTCTCCCCGAGGTGGCTTCAGCAGTAAAACCTCACAAGAAAAGGACCATTTGGGATTAGTTTTTTGCCACACCTTGCCGTGTTTTGCCGCACTGCTGAGCGCGAGATCGATTAAGGCTATCATATGCGTGTACTGAAATGCATGGCGTGTCGACTGTTATGTACACATGAGCGAATACATCTCCATAAGAACCAGATGCGTGCACTGCTATTATGTGCAGGTTGGATTACATGCTAACAAGGTACATTACCAAGACATTCATTGACTTTCGAACATTTCTTTACCTTCATGTTGAGGTTGTTTCGCATGTGCGTATGAGTGTGCTTTTGCATATGTGGCGCTTTAATGTACGAGTTCAACATTCACTCAAGGGCTAAGGAGTAGCCGGCGCCTTACTAGCACGCTAACATCTCCTTATATATCATATCAATAAAAAAAAAGGCTTGTTAGTTGAAGCATTGCACATGACATTTTCCCCAGAGAGCCACAATGCTTTTGGCGAGTTTGGGTAAGTAATACTGCATGGAACTGAGAGGCACAAACCATATACGTTGCACCGAGAATATTTGCTGATTTGCCAAGGCAGAAACAACGGAAGCCACCCTTCAAGCAAATGGGGCGAGAAAAGTGTTCACAACAAACCTTCCAAAGAAAAACTTCATCATGAACTCGTGCAACAAAAACCATTTTCAATAAGAGCTCTTTATACTCTTGCATCGGTACAAAAAATTATCTAACTCAGCTTTTCAGGATGTAATATAGTTTTAGGACATGTAGGTGTACACATGCCTCAAGTTTATTTGAATTTGGACTAGGTAACATTGCAACAATCCTTTATATCTGCAGGACTCAATGGCGATGGCAGTAGCAAAAGGGGGAT